TACATAATTTACATAACCTATTCTGTCTATCATTCTTATTAAATCTTCATTGTATACAACTGTAATTTCTAAGAGTCATGAGTTGATAACAAAAAAAAATATTATTTGATATTGTATCTACACATTATATCATTATCGTTGTCGTTATCGTTATTGTTATCATTATAAATATAAATAAAATAAACATGACTAATGAGTAGTGTATTCTTGTCTACAAATTGGGTTCAATGTCAAAAATAAGTTTTCAACGTTCTAAAACGACATCCTTAAGGTATCAGTGAACTGCAAGGTGCCTCAAAGTATCAACTGATTTTTATCGAGAAAAAAAGAGCATAATTTCTTTAAAATCCGCAATTAAGTTTAACCCCTTGCCCACAGATCGTCAAAATTTATTTCAAAAGCAATACCTGAAAGGGGCATAATTTTGTCAAAATTAACAACACGGTTATGTGATCTTATTTATGGGTTCGATGATTTATTGGTGACACAGAAAATATAGCCAATATGTCCACGTAGTCCTGGTTCTCCATAGTCTTTTAATATTTTCAATTAAAAAATATAAATACAAGTTTATGTAAATATGCGTCATGAATATAACATTACCTGAAATCATTACTACAGCTTTATCAGAATTGATTTGAATAATAAATACGTCTTTGTTCTGCATTGAAATATATAAATTAACTTACAATATTTTCTTAAAAAGTTACATTTCTGTATCCATTGCAATATAGACAAAAATCCACCATTGCATCAAGTTGGAAAGTTATAACTGATAAAGGAACTCATCAAAGTTTCATTTTAAAATTCAAAAGAGAAACAGTTTTCAATTAAATCTGTGTCTGAAATTTTCTCTGAGTCAAGTGTTTATATTTATCCCCACAACAAAAGATCCTGTTTTGTGCCTGTATCTATTGTTACTCTTTTTAACGTTTGTTAATGGTAGTCAGAACGACAATGACAATATTATCAAAAGAAGTTTGCCCTTTAACACATGGGAAAGGCTGAGAATTAGAAATACCGTAGTATGACAAAAAACCTAACTTTTTACATAATCAATGTCTAACGCCTTGTTACCCCTTTGAATCTGACCAAATGTTAAATATTTTACCCCTAGTTTGAATAATACTTTAGACAGCTAATGACATAATATATAGTCTGAATTTCTCTTTAAGTCAAATGCTAATAGCAAACACATGTGGAACATGATAATAGCGCTATTCAATAAGAGATTTTTTGAAGTCTAAAACAGACTTTTACACTATTTTAACAAGGCAATAACATTATTACTGACTGCAAAATGCTTTCTATAAAGGAAATATAAATGGAATAAAGTAGAAAAACTTGTCATAGTCGTCTTGTTCAAAATAATGTGCAAGTAGTAATAAGTAAGTAACCCATTCATGTCAACAGACGTAACATATAGCTGCACTAACAATACGTACCAAATGTAAAAAAAAGGAAAATATTGAAATCGGTATATCGAAGAAAAGCAATGCCGTTCTTTATATATAATCATTTGCAAGTGTCCTGTGATTTTTTACTAAGACTTTCATTATAATGTAAAATATATGTAGCTATATATTGTCATCGTATATGACAATAGTTCAACATTTATATAACCCCGACATTCTCTGAAGAATAAAATTCAAATATTATCAACAAATCATTTGATCGGGAATGAATCAAGCTGATTTTAGGAAAGGAACACGGGTATCACATCATATCTGTTTATATTGCTTATTGTCAGTAAATTCAATTAAGATTCCCAAATATTGCCTTGTTTATTTACCTTTTCATTTTGATTTTTTTTCTCTGCAAATTTAAGATTTCAACACAACGTCTTTCGAAATGACTTTTATTTTATTTTTTTTTACAGTAGTATACGACTACTGTTGACAAATTTTCGACCTTGTCAAGACCTTATTAATTATAATGTTTCTGTTGTTAGAAAAATGACAAATGGTTTAATTTTCAACGACAGTTTTTGCTGTTTCCACATTATTACATTGTACGAAAAGAACGTCCATGATATAGCATGAATTATCATAATGCAATTTCATTTTTTTTCACTTTAAGTACTGAATGATATTTACGTTCATGATAAAACATATGTAAAACATTGCTATAGCAATGATAGGTCAGGTGGTTAATGTCAGGCAAGTAAAACTTTTACTTAAATACAATATTTATGTTTTCTTAAAATGTCAGTTGTATGTAGATTAAAAATATATGTATTACAATGTATTTACAGCACGACTCTTTTTTGACATATTCAATAGACAAATCAACTCTATACAATCCATTGTCAAAATATATTTAACACGAAAGCCTTGAATATTGGAACAACCATCTTGTGGGCAATCGGTGCTATTCGGTTGTCTATTTAACACGGACGCCTTGAATATTGGAACAACCATCTTGTGGACAGTCGGTGCTTTTCGGTTGTCTATTTAACACGAACGCCTTGAATATTGGAACAACCATCTTGTGGACAGTCGGTGCTATTCGATTGTATGTAGCATGATGGCGATTCTTTCAAATTAAAAGAGTGGGTCTGATTAAATCCATTATCCCTTTCTAAAACAGTAACATAGTAACATACGGCAGCAAACTTTGCAGCTTTGACGAATTAATATTCATTAAAATGAATTGCTAATGGGAAATTGTACCGCAACTGATTGTGTGTGCGCGTTTGGTTTATTTACCATTGCTACCGATGAGCACAGACCTCATTTTTAACTTCCTTTTATTTGAAGGGTTCTTTAGTTATTTATACTGCAAGTTATATATGTGCACATGTTAACTTGTATACCATTATTCCTGTTTTAAAATCGTCGCTATGTATGTATGGTGAGACGGGAATATGATGGGATAACTCCTGCTGAATAACAATACTAGTTTAGAATTAACTCAAAGGGTCGATGCGTTTATGCTTGAAGGATACCATCTCTTACTCTTAAATAGGTCATGAAATTAAACGCTTCTTAATGCGTGTCAGGAACGTATTTCCCTATTTCAATGTGGCAAATGTTTATAAATGTTTAAAGGGACATCATACATTGGAATGCAAAAAATGAATTACAAGTTTGTAAAAAGAAAAAAAAAAAGAAAATCGAACACCCGCTTTGTAAGATTATTTTTCACTGGTTGGCTCCTTCGTCCTGATTGGTCGAATTATTTAAGTCACCACATATTGTAAAATATCAAGCGGTTATGACATCATTGCGCATAACAACCAATTATTCATGAAAGTCGGAAAACAATAATATTATGCATGCAATTTTAGATGTACCTATCATTTATAATCCCATTATTCACGGACTTGTAATAAGTCATTTGTGCTTCTGCAGATTTTAATGGACCATCAGCGTGCATTGGAGCAGGAAATCACAAACGTTTTATAATATCACTAACATTTTTATAGTATGCTTAACAAAAGCTAACTTTTAAGTTTCATTATGATCACTTAACTTCAAACATATTGTAAATATTTTATTCTCATTTTCACCATCTGGCATTTCAGTGGAAAAGATCAAAGCATTAAAATAATAAGGTTAAGTGTGATGATTGAAACAATGCATAAAACAAGGACGTGCGTTGGCGTACTTCCTGGTTACACCATAGCAACATGTGCCATGACTTTAACTTTTTTAAAAATGCATCTATTCAGTTTTTAATTGATTTAAATTTTACTATGGTAGAACAGGATGAAGTATGAAGTAACAGTAAACACCATCTTCTGTGCAAACTTTTGTCAATGACGTAATTAGAGAAGTTAGTGAATAGTGGTTGAGACTGAAACAATTTATTACCCGTCCTGTTACTCTGCAATATTCAGTAGCAACTTTTCAAGTTAAAGAATTCAGCGAATCTACGGATAGTTTGACATATTTTTTGTTGTCATTTATATATAATGCATCGTTTCAGTTTGGTCATACAGTCATACAGCACATTTATTAACCAATTTGCCATAATACTGGTATCGAAGCAGTATGCCATTTAAAAACCAGCCTTTCATGACACTGAACTGGTCCCGCTTGCCCTTTTAAGTTCTTTGTAGGTGTCTCTTTTTGTTTTACCAATAATTGCGCAAAATTTAATGATCGTTCGTATTTCCAGACGTTTAGCGACTGACATTTTCACGTAATGACAGTATTGACGACCACACAGAAATGTTTGTACATACGACCGTTACAACAGAGCAAATGACACGTAATGACAGTATTGACGACCACACAGAAATGTTTGTACATACGACCGTTACAACAGAGCAAATGACGTCATATTTTCTAGTGACGTTAGGAATACGTACACACACTTTTCTCTGAATTTTGACGTTTATATGTAGTGTTTTTAGGATAATGTGATGCATCAAAGTAATAAACTAACCGACTCTCTACTCTACAAAGCGCTTTGTAGAGGAGCGAGAGTCGGTTGACGATGACAACCGGTCAGGCAGACATCCGTCCGTAAGGCCGGCGTATGTGACAAGGGTTGTCCAATATATTCGTGCACTGGTGGAATATGTTACATGTACGTTGCATAAGAACAATAAAAGCTACAAAATACTTTGCACCAATCATTCCTCTATTGACAGTAAAACAAATTATGACATAAAAAGCAAATGCCACTTTACAAGCAAAAAAAATTAATACAATCACAGTAATGAACTAACCCAGTTTTTTGTCGGGCGCCGGTATTACGTTACTAAGGTAAGTGTAACTATGACAATTCATTTTCACGACATGCCAGTTACACGGCTTTATCTTTTGTTTTCTTATTTGAGACATATTTCCCCTTCAAGTGATATATAATTCATGCCTTTTTATCAATAACTCTCACGACAATAACTGCAGTGCACGATTTTTTTGGACAACCCTCGTACACTACAAAGCTTCATTGTAAGACCTTGGACTTAAAATGTTATCATAAGTCCCAGGTTAGACTGAGTTAATACTTATTCAACTATCATTTAAATCATTTTGCATTTTATATTAATGTTTCTCTGTACAAGATGGAGTGCCTTTGTTGCTCTAAATTCTTAACAAAAATACCATACTTACATTACATTATAATTACAATACATATTATAACTGTACTTAATAGATATTAAGTCATGGAACACAATATTTAATAGATATTAAGTCGTGGAACACACATATTTTCCTATCTTTTTTACTCCTTTCACCCACAGAAATAAATCTGAACAATGAAACAGAATATACCATTTTAAAATGTTACTGGAATGCATATGAAAAGCAAAAGTCTAACGGAAGACACAATAATTTCTGTACATTATTTTTTTGTATGTTTACTATATTCAAAAAAGTTTCACATTAAAAAGCAAATAACCTTGACTAAGGTATGCTGAAAGATGATTGTATTTACTTCATAACAGTAAAATATGCTTGTAAAGATAAGTAAATAAAACATACATTATAATATCAACAAAATTTATTTAAACACAATGTTTTACATGGAAATGAAGTAAATAAGTAACAATTTGGCTGAAATGATAAAATTGCTTCAAATCAAGCAAAATTTCCAGAAAATATTCATTCACTATCAATGAATATTTCAATCATATTGAGTTTTAGTTTTTATGTCTAACAATATACAGTAAGGCAATCAATGTTCATGTATAAGCTAATACCCACATCAAATGTAAAATCAAACAATAACCTTAAATTTATATATCACAGTGGTATGTCTATTGCATTTTTTACATTTATATTCTTTATATATATGATAAATAAACAATTCAAAATAATAAATAAATAACAAAACAAAGAATTTTTTTCCAATAAGCCAAACAAAAGCACCCAAAACTTCTTAAAAATCATTCAGGTTTCTTATTTTACAGGTAAACTATACATAATTCATCAAAGTTTTTTCATGTTGCAAATCAAACGCTTAACATCTGGCAAACATAAACACATGCAAATTTTAAATCTCCATTCCACTAATAAGTACCAATCAATCAAATGGTTTTAGAAACCAATACTTCATATAATAACAGCCGCAGCTTCACACCTGCCAGTTAACATGGTCCCTAAATCAATCCACGTATTGGTACAAGGATCGTAGCCTTCCATAGTGTCTAGAGTGGATGGAGCCGTGAACTCCTGATTCGAGTTACGACCACCCATCACATATATCATATTGTTTACAACCACTACACTAGCCGCTGCCCTTGGTGTCGATAATGGAGCAACTTCTATCCAGTATCCCTGAAATAAACTTTCACTTACAATAATAAACCAATAAAATATCTGAACAATTTTTGACTTCTTGAATCTGTAATTTTATCAATAATTATATTTCTCACATATCTGTAGGTATCATATACTTTAGTACACTTCAATTTCTTGATGATTGTACTTTGTGAAGTAATGAAACTTCCCTACAAGCCATTAAAGCCACCTTTGGAATAATAAACAAAGATTATGTTGGCCAGTGAGTTACATACATATCTGTAAGCAAAGAATACAAATGAACTGTCTCACTCAGTACTATAATTTTAATATAATGCACTGAAGAGACAGCCCTTAGCTTACATACTTACAGATTGCTAAATTGTAAGTATAAAATTATACCATTACACAAAATATCAAAGGCTTCAATAATAACCCTTTCCAAACTATATATTTCATCAATAACAAAAAATTCAAATTATTTTACAATATAGAAAACTTATAGAGAAAGCTTAAATTTAATTGAAAATAATATTCTATATCTGACAAATGATCTAACCTTTTTAAAGTCCAGTTTTTCCACCGATTTGAGAGCACCATGTGGCTCATTCCAGCCCCCTACTGCATAAAGACAATCGTCAAGAACCACAACTCCAGTATATGATCTTTTTATGTTTAAATCAGGAAGATTTGTCCACTCCTTGGTGACAGGATTAAAACTTTCAACAGATTTAAGCTCATCACTAAGATCATTGCAGCCGCCAACCAGGTACATCAAACCTTAAACATGTTACAATACATCTGTATATAAGATATGTCATCATTTATAAAACAAAAATATTTCAGCTATCAGAAATGGTCATACTTTCCACTTTTCTGGAGGAGGAAAATCTCAGCTGCCCCTTCATACATTATTTTAGACACAAGGTAGAAATGGAGTAGACACTAAACAACCACAAGCTAGCTAAATTCCAAAAATTCATTATGAAATATTATGGGTATACATGTATGTTACTAACCTATGAGAGAAATATTAAAGATTATATTAAAACTGACGATGTCAATGATTTTTTAATATTTCAATTTTACTTTTATTTAAATTATTTAATATTCTCATTTCATGTTACAAATGATGACAATTTTCTTGGTATTTGAGTGACATAAACATCAACAAGCTACATGTTTATACATGTATTCATTATTAGTTTGCATATATAAACTAACAAGGCAAGGGTTATATTGCATACAACTGTATGGCAAGATGACTTGTCGAGAATCTCTATAACTGATTTATAGCACAACAAACTTCCTATATATGAGAAAAAAGGAAGTTTTTTCATAAACTGACTGCAGCTGTGTAAAGTTTATATAAACATAATGATAATCTAATGAAAAGCAACTTGACAAAAGCTATGTATTATAAAAAAATCTGTAAATACCATTATCTCCTGTAATACCCATCCAACATTTCAAAGATCTACAATGTGATATCACCATCCATTCCTTTATCTCTGGGTCATACTTCTCCACAGTGCTCCCTATCTCTGACCCCACCCATCCACCTACTGCATACAGACAATTATCTATACTGCATACTCCAAGACCACATCTGACAAGTACATGTACAATGTATATATCGCAGGTATACTATATGCATTGATGTGAAGATATCTTTTATTCATTTCCTGACTAATTATTTAGATAAAATATTAAACATATCTATTTTAGCTTAATTGTTATAAAAGCCTTATAAAGTGTATAGAGACCACACTTAAATATCTTTAAAATCACACTTAAGTCCCTTACTTGGAACTAACCAGTACTGGGGGGGGGGGGGGGGTGCATACTCTATACTCTTTCCATGATCACTACAGACACAGTCAACTTTTCCAGCAGGCTGGAATGTTTTAGCAATTTTTCTTCAAGACCACCCAAGGATCATTCCTGTGGAGTTTCATAAAATCTGTAAGAGGTGGTTATGGTAGAAATGTTTCTTTTACCTCTGGTAGCAATTCTTTTGATTAAAAATGAAATATCTTAGCATTTTTTGTAGAGGACTACACAAAGATCATCACCACAATTGACTAAGGGGTTCAGATGAAGAAGTCATTTCAAATGGATTGCATAAAAAAGAACTTTCAATTAAATGAATGATAGTAACTTAATATAGAGTAACTGACCTTGGTGAAGTCATACCAGGTAGAGTCTTCCATTCATATGTAACAGGATCATATGTTTCTACTGAATCTAGAATCAACATGTCATTTTCACCACCAACAACACATACTTGCCCTTCCAAAACACCAGCTCCAAGGGCACTTCTGTGGAATTGAAAACTTGGACTTTCATGCCAGGTTTTGTAAAATGTGTCATATCTCTCTACTGTATTCAGTGTCTTTGCATCACTCCATCGGTCTCCCTTCAAGCGTGTAAACCCTCCACATAAATAAATATTTTTTCTAGCACATCGTCTTGGTACCATCAAATGGTGCTTCAAAGATTTCATTTTGTTATCTATCAAACCAAAAGTTTTCCTTTCTGATTTAAAGTCATTTAATATTTTCTGTAATGCCACTTTTATACTGAGTTCAGATTCACCAAGGGAAGATAAATATTTGTCCATCTGTCCATCAGATATTACAGGAAATCTGATTGGTGCAAGAACATCAAAAATGTGTTTTCTCCTCTCTAATGTTTTCTGCAGTATCCAGTCCATTGCAGCTAAAATTACAGATAGAAAAACAATTTGACCATATTGTGAGATAAATCAGCATGACAAGAATAACAATAATTTCAAAACTATATATTTCAATCTACAAGTATATTTTGATAAACTTATATATATTTTATCTTTACATGTGGAAGTCTATTTATAAAGCTGTTACAGGCATTGAGATTTTTTTACATGAAGGGACTAAAATAACAACTTGTGTCCAAAATTTCAGATCATTTCCACTCTTTGTTTCCCTAGAATAATTATTTTTATTGTGCAAAATTATCAAAAAGTGAAAAAACCATTGCAATGCTTTTCACTCCAACTGGGCTAAAAATCAATTTTCAATTGAACTTATAGTATGTTTTTCATCTTTAGCAGATTTTTCCATTTTAGTGCATTCATGTTTCCTCCTTTAAATCTACTTTCATAGGTATTGGACCAAATCACTAAAAGAACCTTTAAATCACCTAACTGAATAATGTATCTGAATCATTCACATATAAATATTATTTAAAAAAGTAAACTTTCCAGACACCTTACAAAAGGTGTCTCTCTTATACCCAACCAGCTTGTGCCACAAAAAAAATCACATTGGCAAAGACAATTTCCTAACATGTAGTTAACTTTGAAGCTTTTTCAAAAAATTCAAATAAAATTTTTTCCAACATATATGTAGCTTTATACACTTGAACCTGGTGAATTTCTTAGATGGACTTGTCCACTTTCAATTTTGGAACCATCCATTATCTATTATGGGGAAATCAACTAAAACTTTAATTTTGTACAGCAAAATAGAAAACTACAAAGCTATTTCATAATAAAATGATGTAATTGTAAGAAAGAAAGAACTAACCAACCTTTAAAAACCTGGTACTCATTCTCTACATGTAAACATTCACTCTGTAAAAACTGTATAACATATTCTTTTTCAAGATTAAGAAATTCTTCTTCTTTTGAGATCTTCAGGAAGTGTTTATGTATATATTTCTCTGCTTCTTTCTTGAGAGGATCACATGATATTGTAGCACCAAACAGATATATACCTACAATATACATGTATATAATTCTATTCAATTGATAATGAAATAATACAGGTAATATTCAAAATATTGTATTATTCAAAATTTAAGTTCAAAACTGCAAAAATTTTGTCAAGATTGTTTATGATGTAGAGAAAGCAGCAATGCCAGATTTTTCTAAAGCTTTTTCTTATCATTATTTAACTTAGTTGGGGTTTAAGATCATAAGAACAATGTAAAGTTCATGGCAGCTTTCCACTTTAACTAGTGCTTTCCAGTGCATTGTATATTAATTGAGCAAGCACTGGAAGGAAAGATGACTTTGCTTTATCTAGACGAGAGTTGAGGCTCTCTTATCAAAAATGGCCCCATACATAGAAACTATTATCTAATTAACTAACAAATTATATCACTTGAACCTTCTTCATTATGTTTTGCTTGGATTTCAATCACACTGAATCAGTAAAGCTCCAACGATGATTTGCACATATGTATCTATTTGTTGACAATAAACATCAGTCCCCTCTACAAGTATCAGTTTGAGCATGAGTGTCTACTTGGGGTTGAACTATCAACCTTATGTAAGCTACTAGATAGTTGTCTAACTCACCTATAGAGTTTTCTGGTTGTAATTTGTCTGTGAGGAATGTACAACATAAACTGACAATCTCTGACACTGAGAACATATCAGCAGCTATCAGTAGCTCTTCACAATTATCCTCGGTTACCTCTATCTCACCTACATAAAATATTTAATTATACTTATATCTTCATCTTTGCCTCTTTTCTGAACCCTTATCATGTCAGATATATCATTCTTGTTTAATTAATAAAACATGTATAAAGAACAGTATAATTATATACAATTATATCTAAAATAATGCATCACTTATAAATCTGATAAATTTTCAAGTCTATCACTATTATTTTAACAATATGAAATCAGGTTCATGTATAATAACTCTTTATGTTTACTGATGACATGCCTGTGTGACACTTTCTAGGGCTATTTACTAAGAATACATAAAATAATAGTCTAAATATTTGAACAAGAAAACAAAATTTTCCTAATTAAAAAGACAAGGTATAGTGTCTGATATCTCATCTCCTCATAATGGAACTTCTTGAATTGTACTCAGATCACAGAAAAAGTTTAAAACAGTTTTCAACAAACATAAACTTACCGAAAAAAATCAAGTAAAAGAAATACATGTACCTCATTGATTCCTTTAAGATTCATTTGAGCTATCATTAAAACGATTCATTTGAGCTATCATTAAAAATATTGATTTGAGTTATTATTAAAGTAAAACTATTGTAAAATATTCTATAAATTTTAATTTTCATTATGATTGAAACAATTTCGCATAAAGTCATTTCCTGGTTGCCATAAAAGGAACACAACATAATGAAGACAATTTTTAACATATTTTTTCATTATATATAAGGTAAAAGATACAAGATTCTATTTACCTGAATATAAGAATTCTAATATAATTGAGAATATTTGTTTGGACACACCACCTATATCTATACTCTGTTTGTCATGCTCGGCCATATTGTTAATAAACATGGCATGAAAATAAGGGCTACCTGCCATTAAAACCACCTGTAATGTAAGATATTTAATGTCATGTAATGATATCATGAATCTAGTGCTGTATTTTTTAAACTTTTTCCTCAACTTCTTTAGATATCATTTACATCAATTATCATAATAAAATATCAAAACATGTACATGTATTTAGAAATTGTCTTTTAAAAAGCAAAAATATTAAATTAAATTAAAACAAGAGCTGTCAGTTGGACAGCATGCTCAACTATTTTCAGTGCTTCTTAGTATTACAATGGCCTGAATAATGTAAGATTTGGCAAAGAAGGAAGATTTCCTTCACAAAAAACAAATAATGTACATGACATAGTTACAAGTCTTGGATACTGACCAAAGTTCACAATGGGCCTTAATTCAAATTCCATGCGCAAGTTATGGACCTTGGAAAGTCACCTTGAATTGTGATTCAAAAAGCATGAAACAAGTTTTAACTTAATACAATCAATACTTCTTAAAATATAAATTTTGCAAGTTAAAAAAAATTCTTTCACAAATTAGGGCAATATTTCAGTCAAAATCCATGTAAAGTTATGGGCATGTGATAATGACCATCAATTATGATCCCACAGACATGTATTAAGTTATATGTGAATACCTTCAGCTGTTTTGTAGATTAGTATTGCAAGCAACACTTTAACCAAGAGTTTAAAAATGGACCATAACTCAGTCAAAATCCATGTTGTAGTTTTCAAGATTGATGTTGCACCAAGAATTTCAAATTTTTTTTGGTCAAAATCCATGTCAGAGTTATGGGCCTTGGATAGAAACCTTCAATTATTATCCTAAAACCATGCATTTAATTTCAAGTGAATACATGTACTTTCAGTAATTTTGAAGATTTATGTTGCATGCAAAACTTAAACAAAGATTTTTTAAGCTCAAGAAGTGCCATAATTCAGCAAATTTCATACTATATTTACTTTTCTACATTCTATTTCTTTTTTAATATTTTACTTGCTCTACAAACATTGATATCTCTAATTCCTTGTTATTTACTCAAAACTATCACTTATTAGTCATGCATTTTCACCTTTTTCTTAAAATAATATTGTTCTAGTATTTCACAATTAAATCGTTTTGTATTTTCTATAGTTCAACACACATATTTTTACTTCCTTACTATACGGTTACAGAATAAATTGCGGTATTCTCATGTGTTATATCCTACCATTGCCATCAATTTTACTTCAATTTCATTTCTACATAATGTACATGTAGTTAAGTTTACATAAATACAAATTCATGTTGTATGGAAGCTTAAGAGTAATAATACCTTATGAGATGGGAACGCTTGATCATCTACTTGTAGACTTACATCACAGAATGACTCATCATATCTCAGTTGCTGCAGCACTTTAAAGAATGACTTACAATATTCATCCGAAAAACATCTGTACAAATAACAATTACAACAATTGAATAAATTTCATTTGATACTGCTTTTCAACACATGAATTTGTTTGTTTTCAAATGATTTTTATAAGAAGTATCTTTTTATGTAACATGAAAAGACAATATAAAATGTGATTAATTGGGCAGCTTTGTATAATTTATAATGCTTTCATGAGTCAGTATGAAATGACAACTCCTGGGAGGTCTTATATTCATGAAACTTAATCAGACTGTATCTGATATAATTATAAACTAATGCATATAATGATAATAATACTAAACTAATATTCCAACCCGAGCCAACTGCCTAGAAATTATTTTGCAATATGCCCTCAGAAATTCCTAACTATAACCCTGAATGCATATAATGATAATATATTAAAAGCCAGCTTAAATAAATTGATATGATTTACTTATAAGGTCTGTCATCTAGGCAGGTTGGGAACTGAGATGTAAGTCCTTCAGCCATCACAAATTATAGTTTCCTGGAGAAGAAAAACCCAAAGTAATCAAGATTAATAACATTGTACTATAACACTAAAAAGTATAGTAACCAGATATAAAGCTAGAATCTCAACCAACTACTTCTTGGATAACAAAAGGTGACATCAGAGGAAACACTATAAACTAATTCAATATTGGACACAGCAAAGAAACAACAAATAAATAAATCTTCTTTATCAAAGTGACCTCAAACTGGTCATGAAAGACATATCATATGTTAAAATTTAAGTGAACACCTTCAGTAGTCTTGAAGCGGTCACAAATTTGTTGACCTACACTTGTGGTGACACAAGTTTAATATTTTTTTACTCTGTAGCTCATATATTTTTTCTGGCATGTTCTTTTATATCAAGCAGTTTTAAACAAATTACTGTTTATTGTTGTCATTTAAAATTAGACGTTCACTATTTGCCATTGCAATATGTGCACATGTGTGACCGGTTCCAATTTTCATTTCTCTTAAGTTACAATTGTGACGTCTTTATTCAAATTAAAGAAATTATCATTTAAGTAACTGTAACAAGTTATTCAACAGGATTAAAGGTCTGTTTCTTTACTATATATTCACTTGTTTTTCCACGTAATGTTAACTTAAGATAATTGATTAAAAAACTACTTATTACTTCAAATCATTGTTATGACAGCTTTGTTTTCTTTAAGAATAATCAATTCCCTACCATTTGGTACCAAGATTTTGAAATTTTGTGGAAAAATGATGGAGTTATGGAGTTCACATTAGGATGAAGGCAAAAAAAATGAGCCGCAAGTTGCTGTCCTTTACTAATTATATATATATATTTTTTTTTTCCTTGCAAAATGACCAATCACTGCGTCTGAGACTACAATGTCAACTTTCATTATCTGTTGTTATTTTTAACAATAGTAAGACATATAGATTTCTGTTCACACTCTTATTTGCCACTTACTCGGAAAAAAAAGAAATTGTATAAATATTATATATATATGTATAAATGTGAAATGATCATTATTTCATAATAAAACTAAAAAAGGTAATGGTCAAAGATGTTATTTACAGTTATTAAATAAATAAAGCCAAAGTTTACCCGTGCCGAATGTGTATTGGGCCGAGATGCTTCCGGGCCAGCTGGCTGACACTGACTGCGTTAGTGTAAAAGAATCTGCTGTCTTATTTACAAAAATAATTTGAGGTTTGATAAACTGAACACAAATGTTACAAAACTGTAAAACATTCTCTTACCTTTCAAAAGATTGATTTTATCGCAATAAAAATCAACAAATAATCCTGCAATAATTTGGCAAATTATCTTTTTTTTCTCAATCGGGCATCCTCGGCACAATTGAATTTAGCGGAAAAGTCCGAAGTTTTCAAATGAAGTATATGCTCTTCAATTAGAAAGGTACGAAAATTTTGCAAAAAGTCAACAATGGCATGTCAAAAATTGAATATGTGTTTTACAAAATTTAGACCGATTTGGACGTTGTCATGTAGATATTGTACAGATTTCACGCCAAAGGATAAATGGAAAGCTGTTCCCAAAGATGAGGTTAAACGATTTATCATTGATTGTATGAAGAAAGTGGGGACAAAAGAGGCACATGCAACTAGTCTTGCTGGAAATTTAATGACTGCTGACTATCGTGGTCACTACAGTCATGGCTTAAATAGGCTAGGTAAGTGAAAAATTGTTTTTGTGTTTATAACCAGAATCTCGAAAAACGTCCTTTATACTAATATCAGTAATGTGATAAACCCAAAACTAAAAGGCTGTACTCCAGTAATATGAAATTAGGCAAAGCCTATGAACGGGGAAGTCAGTAAAAAATCCTCTCATTTTTCCGTTTTGAATTGTCATTCGGTATTTTGTGTACTCGCTTCCGTTTTCACTCGGGACACTAGACGATTATTATTAATCTGAAAAGCTGAGATCTGTTCAGTTATCGAAATACACTGATTTTTATCATTGAGTTACATTGAAAATGGCGGCGTCCCTCTAGTACTGACACTGAAAATTTCATTGATAGGTATAGAATTCTATATATTTTAAATTGTTTTTCATTTGATTTTTTTTTAAATATACACATGTAGTCTATAGCCAGGCCTTTGACTTCCCCGTATCAATCAGTTTATAATTCTAAACAACCCAAAAGTTCAGTACAAAGGCTACAGCTCTAAGTCTAAATAAACACATTCAGTCAGTATTTAGCCCAAAATACCTGTAATCACTTGCATCCCTATATAATATAAACTTTATACAAAATTATCAATCATCCACCATGATAGCATCAGAACTATGCCAGATATCCAAATAGGTGCAATATGGATGAAGAAACTTCCCAACTTAACCCATATATAGTATTTGGTCTTGATTATTTATTGCAAATAGTTTTCAATACACTCTCCAAAGAGCTCTCTCCAATGTTAGGGTTTATTTTCCATAAAAAGTCCATTAATGATGATCTGCTGAAAATACACAAGTGTACTAAATGTATAAACATATGTGTATGTAATCAGAAGTTAAGTCTTCTTTGGTTCAAAAGTTTTCTAGCTAAAAGACTGCAGTCAGATGTCCTCCAAGGCTCAAATTTAGAATCCCTCCACTTTTTCACCTACATGTATATAAATGACCACGGTTAGCTGAATAGCAATAGCAATAGGTATAGCGCTGGACTGTGAATCAGGTAACCTGTGTTCGATTTCCAGAGGGTACAGGCCACTTTCATTGTGATTGATCATGAAATCCTTTCTACAGTCATTCGCACTGTACCTCTGCTCTGGCATGTACAGAAGTAATCAGTTCCTTGCGAAAGTGAAGGCAACTAGTACTGATAAACAGTTAAACAGTTTGACAGCATGCCCAGGAACGATGCTATGGCTGAACTGTGCTCTGGTAAATTCAATGCGGCTTTCTCCCATGATCTGGAGTGAAAACTACCAACACCACCACCATCAGCATTGATTCCAAGGTTTGCCTGTTTGCAGACGATACTGCCATATACATTGCCATGATCAACTTTATTCTGCAAACCAATCAGCTACCTTCCAAAATAACTTAAATGGTTAGAAAAGTGGAAGTAGAAGAATAAGTGATTTATAATATAGTCCTTTTTTATTGATGCTACAGATTATTAGTCACAATCAAGAAAATAGTTTTTTGTTATTACTTATTTTATTTCAGATATGTATGTTCATGACATTGAAAGTGGTATCACAGTAAGTGACAAAGAACCAGTTATAGCAAAGGAAACTGAGGCTACAGCCTTGGTGAATGGAAACAATGTTCTAGGCCCTGTTGTTGGTGATTTTGCTATGGGACTGGCGATACAAAAAGCACATAATGTAGGAGTTGGCTGGGTGGTTGCTAATGGTAGGAACATTAATTTTACCAGTTATCAATAAAATCTATAGAACCCTCATATTGCAATGTTTTCTTCAATATTTTGTCTAAAATGATCTCATAATTAAACTATTACAAATACTGAAGCCTTGTCAATGAGGCCTCAAATAAGATATTATTTCTTTCCTCTCCTGCTATAATGTACCGACCTTCAAAAATTACTGCTAACAAAAACATTTAATTGCTAAACAAAATAAATTCTTTCATTTATTTATTTCTTTTTTTACTAAATACAATGTTTTGAAATTGAATCTATGAATGAGAATCTTATGTTCATATTTATTTGTTATGTTTATGGGATAAAATTGTGAAACTTCTTAAATCTATCTAGATGCTTAATATGACTAAGTATGCAAAAGTTCTTCTTTTGAAATCCATATAGATAATATAAAATATGAATGATATAATATCTATTATAAAGTCAAATATAAATTATATGCAATAGATATATTTACAATAAAAGATTCTTAAGAAATCTGAATAAAGCATATTTCCATTACAGCCTCCAATCATTATGGAATAGCAGGATGGTATGCAATGCAGGCTCTTAACGAAGGACTTATGGTATACTTTTTTGACATAAATATTGCCAATTCTCAACAACTTTCTACATTTTTAAAGATAAAATAGACTAATTGTGAAGGTTTATGTTCCACTTTATGTATAACATATGTAGTCATCAACACTTTGTAAATTTTTGATTGTCTTGATGAAATTCTTTTACTATGATCTATTTTTCTGACCAATTTATATGCAAATTAATTATATTAATTGTACTTTCCTTAGAATTAATGTTAAATGTTTAAAATTTTATCACATACAGAGCTGTTTGCATACTTACATATTTTCAGGGCATGTCATTTACAAATACATCACCTCTACAAGTTCCAACAAGGTCAAAGAAGGTAAGTTTTTACTTATAAGTAGTTTAACCTTTCCCTACAATTACCAACTGACTCTACCCATCTGACTAGACTAGTACAAAGCAAGATCAGCAAAGCAGATCTATGAAATGTTCTCGATTAAATCTGTACATATTTTTAATATTTGTACAAAAAATGATGAATTGTTTTGTCCAGATTGAAATACAGACAAGTCCATTCAAGATATTTAGTGTGGTAATAGTTAATAAGAGTAGCTATTTGTAAAGATGAATTTCACCTTACTTTCATAACCATAAAAATAAATGAAAAATAATGCTTGAAATTCTAAAGAATCATTGATATTTCTATTATTGATATTTCTGTATGTTTATTGACCAGGCTGTCCTAGGAACAAATCCAATCAGTTTTGCTGCTCCAGGTAAAAATGGTGATAGCTTTGTACTTGATATGGCTACCTCAACATGTGCCTTAGGAAAGGTAACAATTATTTTGTTGTAAACAGAAAATTAATATACATATATTATTAATTTAATCTTTTATTGGCAATGTATAGGCATGTAGATTTAAACAGAAATAGAATATTTTTCTAATCTAATTCTATACCTTTCAACTCTGAACATGACATGAAGCATTTTTAAATGGCCTTTCATCATATGTTGATGGAGTAGGTGGGAAAATACTAAACAACCTTGTCATTATTTTATGCATAAGTTTTAATGATATCTAGTTATATTTTATTATTAAAATATGTTTACAGATAGAACTTCATGACAGGAAGAATATAAGAATTCCAGCTGGTTGGGGTGTAGATCAGCATGGTAGTAAGTAAGTTTAAGTACAAACTGAGTAATTGTTACAACATGTTATCGTGATCATTGTATGTAATGCTCTAGAATATATGAGCCGCGTCATGACAAAACCAACATAGTGCGTTTGCGACCGGCATGGATCCAGACCAGTCTGATCAGGATCCATGCTGTTCGCTATCAGTTTCTCTACTTGTAATAGGGTTGGTAAGCGAACAGCATGGATCCTGATCAGACTGCGCGGATGCGCAGGCTGGTCTGGATCCATGCTGGTCGCAAACCCATTATGTTGGTTTTGTCATGGCATGGCTCAATTATCATGTTCAATTAAAATTATCAAACAGACAACTTGTATTAATGAACTTTATGTATTAGCTAGTAGTATGTTTCATCTACAACTTTCTTTTGCCTATAAATTGGTGATTAATTGACAAGTTGGTTTTTGCCTGGTTATAGTTGCAAGCTTAAATGTACTGCCATATATCCTGTAAGGAACATAATGATTTATTTTGTTTCAACTTGAAGATCAGTGGTTCTGTGAAGATGTGAACTCAAGTGTATAGCAGGGCATCTGCACCTCTACTAGTTAAGATAGAAAAGTGAGATTTGACATTGGCAGGGAAGATGCGACTTAAACTTTAACTTCCCTGAGCCTTTACCACTAGTATATAGCCATGCAAGCCTCTGACCAGACTCTTTATGGTTGACTGTCGAACTTAAAAAATATTTTGTTGATACCTTTAATATTGGTAATGGACAGTTCCAGAAATGGAAGCTGTAAAAGTCTATTTTTGAAGTTCAGCGCCTGTTAAACCAAATCTTTGGGTAAAAACTAAGATGAGAGGTGTAAAATATCTTTATTGTTCAGGTGTCCAATGATCCAAAGCCAGTGTTGAGTGGAGGTGGTTTGATGCCACTAGGTGGAGCTGAACTAACAGGTGGATATAAGGGGTATGGTCTAGCTATGATGGTTGAAATATTCTGTGGTATTATGGGTAATGCAGCATATGGACCTAAAGTACGGAGATGGAAAAATACAGATACAGTCGCCAATTTGGTAGGTTGAAATTTTAGTTTCTTTACTACAATTCAAGTTAGTTTTGACTCAAGTATGTTCTTAAAGCTAGAGCTGACATAAACAGTGACATTTTATTATATTTTATCTGCATAGTACTTTTAGATTATTTTCATTCATAGATGTAACTGTTGCATAAAGTCATAAATGAACTCTCATGAAAGAATAAATTCTCTTTTCTTT